TTCAATAAGGCTTCTGGGATTACTGCTGGTTTTGCAGCGGTCAGTTTACATAGGATACCCATGAAAAAGCCCCCCCCCTCCCGCCAACCACAACATTTATCGTGGCCTGGGGAACAGGCGTAGTCGGTGGATGAGTATCCCAGTTATCATAAAGCCAGTCCTACATAACTAGCAGATGGGGCGTATCAGCTGCTTCATGTAGGGTGTTCACTTGGCATTTACAGGGAGCCAGACAGTCCCCCTTCTCAGATAAACAGATCTTACAGTGGCTTTCATTTAATCCACCAGGCTGGCTGTTTCCTTGAGAATAACCTGTTAGGTGTCTGGACCTTGTGCAGCTTTTAAAGAAGTCAAGTTATTCAGCCAAGTAAATTTGAAGATCTGATTGGCTTTATTGAGTGGTTCCTGAATCCAGCAGCATTCCATCCTGCAAGTAGAGAGGAGCTCCAGAAAAGCTGTACAATATGGCAGGCTTTTTATAGGCAGAAACTGAGGAGGACCAGAAAATTATTCACCAAAGAAAAGAAAGAATTGTTTCAGGGCCTGCCAAGTTGGCTCAGTTGGTTAAGAGCGCGAGCTCTGAGCAACAGAGTCACCAGTTTGATTTCCACATGGGCCAGTGAGCTGTGCCCGAGCTGAGCTGCCGCTGAGCTGCCAATAGGTGGCAGGATGGCTCAGCTGGTGAGAGAACATGCTCCTAACAACAAGGTTGCCAGTTCGACTCCCACATGGGATGGTGGCTACCCCCACCCACAACTAATTGAACACAACACTTTGAGCTGAGCAGCTCGCCTGGACTTGGAGCTGAGCTAGCTGTGCCCTCCACAACTAAGATTGAAGGACAACAACATGGCTGCTCCCCTCCCCCAATTCCCCAATAAAATCTTTAAAAAAAAAAAAGAAAGAAAGAAAGAAAGAATTGTTTCACGCAAGGCTACCTTCCCTTAGGAAAAAGGGAGTGGGTGTGTCTTATCAGGCAGAGTACCTTAGCTTCCAATGCGAAGAAGAGGGCCTCTGTGGCAGATGACCTCATTAGTACTGACAAGAAAATTACAGACTGACTAAGGTTACATTCCTGAAGGTCAAAACTGCAATTAGGTCAGGTATTAAGTTTAGGTTCAGTGACATGGGCTTTAGCACAAGTGACTCCATTTGGGGCCTATGGTCTCTCAACTGTGATTGTTCCATAGTGAATTGTGGGTCCCACATCAACCCAACCATGCTTTTCCACTCCGTAGCATTCCAAATCAAAGATACTGCCCCTATGTTAGTCACTTTTACAATCCGTTTTAGTAAGGGTTCTTCAGGAAACCGATGATACCAACCCACAAAATGAGAGACTCTTCACATTGTACCCCCTGGTTTCAATAGTTTCTTGGTTTTGCCCTTCCCTAACGTGGACCACCTTCGTGGTGACCAGAGGTATTAACTCTCTGTTGTCCCCGCATAATCCTTCCTCTTGGGGGCAGCTTTGGGGCAAGTGGCTGAAGCTCAGACTGATAGAAATCTGAACTTGGTTCAGCACTGCAGTCTGACCCAGAACTCTTTGAATTTCATTTTAGCCATTTCAGATAACAATAACCAAGGCATTGTGTATTTTGCTTTTTTCTTATCATTTGCATTTCATATGCATTCAGTAAGCCAACTCCCTGGGAGTCGCTAATTTTTTACCGTTAATAACTTATCTCGCACAGCTTCTACTCCATACCACACGGCCACCCAGGAATCAAAGGTTCCTTATCGCCTACCCTTTCATTCTTCATCTTCCCAAACCGCGTTTCAGTGGACATGGGCCATTTGAACAAACCCCACATTTTCTGACACCAAAAGAGCTGTTTTAACCCACAGTACTTCTGATACCAAACGTGTATGGGTTTTCCACACCAACAACCAATTCTCTGATTCTCTGCCACCAACGAGGCGCCCTACAATTCAATTCAATTCTGATATTAACTACCCAGAGTTAGCATCAGACTCCACAGGTTTAAGGGCTCAATCCCGCAAGACTGCCCTCACTTCAGACACCAATCCCAAATGAGGTGGCCAGGGCACCCACACTTCTGTCCGACTTGGCTACAAATTCTGGGGTTGCTACAACACCCCCTCTAAGATTCGATAATTAAGTAGAACAACTCACTCAGGAAAGTGCTTTATTTACTATTGCTTTACTATGTTAAAAAATAATAACAGACCCAAATGGAGTTGTTACCGGCCCACCGAGCAGCAACCCCACCACTGAGAAACTTTTAACTTTTCTTTCCTATAGAAATGTTGAATGTTAAGTCTCCTCCCTAGTTTCTTAGTTTCTTAGCCCCTGGCTTTGATTACTCTTCTCATCAGTCTGTGAATCCTAGCCTAGGCTAACGACTGCTCCTAGCCTGAATCCTAGAATTCTCCTATCCCCCTGCTTCTTGATGGCTTTGTAAATCAGTTTCTGAATCCTAAACAATAGAAGTCTCTATTATCTCTAGTAGCTTCAGATAACTACTAGAAAGCCTGTGACTTCCTAATATGCCCCAGGCCAGTAAGCTAATTGCCAAACCCATTCTGGGCCCAGACAATCAATGCCACCTGAATGACAGGCTGAATGGCCACAGGCTTCATGAGAGCTAACAGATTTATTAATCTGTTTTTCCTCATTCAGGGACCTTGGGGATACAGAGACTACCCCAACAAGATTGCCAGTCACAACCAAAGAAGCCAACATGGTCTTCCAGGCGGAGCTCGAGACCCCTTTCTCTCATCTGAGATCAGCTAGGGTGAGAGTTCCGTGAATCTCCCAATAGGCAGGGACAGCTCTATGCCCCTGCCCAGCAGGAAGCAGATACAGAAGATAAGACCTCCTTCCTATCCCTCAGCTTCCCATAGAGATTTTATGGGGATCATGTCTCTCAAGGGTAAAACAAGGCAGGCAGTTAGAGGCAGGCATTGTGTCTCTGCATTCCTGCATGTCCCACAGAGTGTGACCGCCAAGGGGACATCCCCTCTACACCCAAAACTCCCCCTTCGTATTGTCATTACCTACCCCTGCGGGAAAACAAATGGCACAAAATACCCAGCTAGAGCTGACCAGTCACTCGCACCTGTGCAGTACCTCTTGTCAATCACAGGTGCCAATCAAGTGGTCCCACGCCCTCAGGGGAACAGCCCATTCTAGAGAAAGGATAAAAACTCCAAGTCCTGGGAAGTCCACCCTTTTTCCCTTTTCTTCGCTTTTTGGACGCCCTGCTCTTTTGACCGCTTCTTCCCTTTTTGAGCCTTTCTGAGCCTCGCCTTTGCGCGAGGCCTGCTCCAAACTCTTTGGAATGTAATTTCTCTTCTAATAATGGGCCCTTGAGCCATCCTCTACTGCTCCGGCCCACTTCTACTTCTTTGAAATGTACTGTCTCTTCGAATAAACTACTTTTCAGTACTTTACTTCGGCATCTCATTCAACTCTTTGCTCGAGTTGCCAAGGACCTGGACTTTGCGCCGAGAAAGGCCCACTCTCCGACAAGAGTCATTTTGTCCCTACAACAGCAAACCAAAACTTAATTGCAGGATTCAACCTCTCCCAAGAATATGTCCTTTAAACAGTACATCTGAAACTTCCTGATTAGCTAGTAATCTGCATAATACACCCCTGCAGTTCCCTCAACCCCAAAAGATGTCCTGGACTGAAACAATCCTTTCTTTTCTTTTGCTAATACCTTCTTGCCCCACCCTCCTTCTGCCTATAAAAACCTTCTGTTTTGTAGAATCCCTCAGAGTGCCCTTCTAGTTGCTAGATGGGATGCTGCTGGATTCAGAAATCAAGTAATAAAGCCAATTAAATCTTCAAATTTACTCAGTTGAATTAAAAAAAAACAAAACACAAAACTATAAATCACACAACTCAGGACCAGTTAAATGGAAGAAGTGTATAGGGCAAGCTTTGGGAGGAGGAGCCTTGAGCTTCCACGCCCTCTCAGGGCACGCTGCCCTCCCCTTGCCTTCCGGCCATCTCTCCTTTTGGGCAAAATGAACAAACGTGTGTGTGTGTGTGTGTGTGTGTGTGTGTGTGTGTGTGTGTGTGTGTGTGTGTGTGTGTGTGTGTGTGTGTGTGTGCGCGCGCGCGCGCATTGTTCCGAGTTCCGTCCACTGGGAAGGTTTCTCTTCACCACCACCCTTCAGGGCTGTCTCAGAGGAGGGCTTTAGTCTGTAGCTGTCTACTTTCAGGTGATGCACGCAGATCATACAGAACTATCTGTCAACTGAACTTGAGACTGTTCTTCCTCAATCAACTGATGATCATAGGGAATTCCCCATGAAGGCCTGGGTGTGGGTTGAGAGAATGTGATGTAGAAGGAAGAGGGGCCTGGGGCAAGTCTGGGAATTGGTTCCAGGATCTTAGAGCAAGAGATTCACCTCCTCAGGCAGGGATGAGAGGGCTGCCTCTAGGGGCAAAAAAGGGTTTGAGATCCCTAACTTCATTGGCATCTGCCCATATGACCCATCCTAATCTTCAAACTTGCATTCTTTCCCAACCAATACCCTGACTTCCAACAAAAGAGACCCTGTGAGGTTGGGAGCTCAATTTGTGTTGTAAATCAATGCCCAATGGACCCACAAGACTCAGCGACTAGTTATACTCACGACTAGTTATACTCACGGCTAAACTGTTTCCAGCATAGGGTACCCAGCAGGCGCACCACTGATGGAGTCCAGGGGGAGCCAATCCAGGCCTCTCGTGTTCTTCCGTGTCCCAGGGTGGACAGGACGCTCTCTCTCCAATGGTGAACCACAGGGAAAGTGCAGTGCCTCTGCCCGAGGAAGCCTATTTTAGTCTTAGGTCAGAAGGGGCTGGTTATGAATGCATAACCTACTATTAACGCTCTCCCCACATTCTGCAGGAATAGATTTTGTTTGGTTTTCAGGACCTCAGCCCCACACTTGAGGAGGTCGTGTTTCTTTCAGGATCATCATAGAAGCTATCAGATTCCTTATGCAGACTCTGAGCCGCGAATAAACATGTCAAAGTCTCAAACTCATTGTTTTAATTTTAAAGAAATGTCACCATCCTTTGACTAAGCAATGATGCTTTTAGGAATTTGGTACATAAGTTATATAGTACATCCATAAAATGGAATTCTTGCAGCCATTAAAAATGTTACAGAATTTATTGACATGAAAAGGTGTTTCGGACATACTGATATGTGAACAAAGTAGACAGTAAAATAACATAGTAATGATTCCATTTTTTGTAAAAAAAATATATGTATATATAGCAAAAAAAGACTGCCAAGGATATACATTAGAGTGGTACCAGTGCATATATCCCCAGGGAGGGAATATATATATATGGGTGTTTATTTTGTTCTTTGTTTGCCTGTATTTCCCTCCCCACCCCCCACCCCCGCCATAAATCACATAATTTGCTTTTGTAACAAGAAAAAGTTAATGTAGTTCAACACCTTCATTCTGATTAAAACAAATCCATTAAAAAAAAGCCTTAGTTTTTGTCAAAAGCCAAAGTGGTTTCCAAGTTGCCACAGAGGCAGAGTTTGTTCTCTGCGGAAGCTGGCAGAAACCTTCCCAATCACAGCCCACGCCAAGACTCCAGGGGAGAATGGTGCTCCCCATAGCTTCAGGTGCTCGCTCCAGGTTCTGTGCTCCAAGGCCACACAGCTCACCTCCGGCCCCGTCCATCCTATTCTTGCCCAGTCACCAGCCTCATCATCTTCAGAGCCATGGCCCCTTGGTCAGAAGGAACCTAGAGCCAAGCAGTATCTGAGTTAGTGCTCCTGGCTGTTCCTGGGGCTGGGTTTGGGGGCGACATCCTGAAACCTCACTCCTAGGAAGAGTGCCCGCTCTGTGACAGGAACCTGGGAGGACAAAAGCTCTTCTGGGCTCCAACCATGATGGACGGCAGGGGACTAGAGAAGTTGGGGATTAGGAAAAGACCCTTCTCCATTTGGGGCTGATCTGTTGATTTCTTTATATGGGCTGTCTCCACTTACTATGGTACTAGGACCCCAGCCTATTCAAGGAAGAGGGAAGGTTTTGAACATTTTATGGAATTCTCTGTGTAGGAAACATCCCAGGCTGGGAACAGAATAGAAAAATGGCCAAAGAGGGAAGCTAACATCAAAGCAATAAACAAATACAAACAGGCAAATAAGACACTTCGTTTCGGTGGCATCCCCATTTTTGTATTGTAAGGGTTTTTGAGTAATTCCTGTATAAAGTCTCCTTGCCACACACCATTAAAAGGGAGGGACAGAGGCCTCAGTTTCTCCTCCACCAAGACTGGGGTGGAGAGTAAATGGCTCCAAGCTCTGAAATTCCACAGCCCCACAGTGTTCTGTGGCACACCCCTGTCCCTGACTTTCCTGCCAAGCAAGGCCACACAGGCCTGGTGGAATCTACCAAAAGGACATTTAATCAACCGAAGGGGAAGTGGTTGGGGGATGATTGAAATACAGTCTCCAAGAGCTATTTTAAGGCTGCCCCCAACTGATCTCTTGTTCTTTCTGTGACAATCCAAGAGGAAATGGGCCTGAACTCCAGCTCACCAGTGAGGAAGCAAGCATGTGATTACCAACTGCCTCCTTTGCCTCCTACCTGCCTTCACAAGGACCCCTCTGTATTAATAAAGTCTTGTGCTCTAAGATACAATGTGTCACAGCTCAGCATTGAAGGTACTCTGACACTCAGAGCCATGACAAAATGCCCTTGTAACCCTGTGTTCTGCTGCCTTGTTCATTCTCTCTTCAGATCACTTTTCTTTTTTTAATTAAATCTATTGAGGTGACAATGGTTAGTAAAATTATATAGGTTTCAAGTGTACAATTCTATAATGCATTATGTATATATCACGTTGTGTGTTCACCACCCAGAGTCAGTTCCCCTTCCATCACCATATATTTGACCCCCCTTTATCTTCTTCTACCATTGACTCTCCCCCCTTATCCTCTGGGAACCACTAAACTATTGTCTGTATCTATAAGATTTTTTCTTGAGAGGAAGTGGGCTACCTCTTCCTTCCGGTTTCTTAAAGGAAGTTGTTGTCTTCTTCCTCATTGCTCATTCATTTGCTCCTTTTCCATGCTGATTTTTGAGCCTGCCATTCATTGAAAATCCTTGCACAATCACCGACGATATCAGTGTACCCAAATCACTGCTTACATTTCAGTCCTTTATCTGAGTTGTCAGCAGCATTGGACATCACTGGCCCCTCTCTACTTTGAGGATGCCACATGTCCCTGGGTTCCTCCCTACTTATTTGGCCGCTTCTTTCCCAGGTCTCATTTGTGGGTCCTTCTTTTGCCTCAAATCTCTTAAATACTGGTGTACCCGGGGCCCTGTCCCTGGCCTTTTCCATATTTGACTCCCAAATCTCTGTCTCCAAGGACAAACATTTGACACCAGATTCACATATACACAGTTCATGTATCCACTTGCCTATGGACATCCCACCTCGCTGTTCTACAGGGAAACAGTCACCCGGTCCTGCCCATTCTCCCTTCTGACACCTCATCAAATCCCCCCACTTTTATGGATTACCATAAAAGCCTCTTAGATTGGCTCTGCCCCAGTCTTGTCCCTTCTAGACTGTTATTTCTTAGACAACCTAGAAATTGCATTCCTTTGCTTAAAAACCCCTCAATGGTAGCCCTATTGTTTTCAGGGTAGGTTGGAGGTCCTTAAGGTGATCTCAAAGTCTCCCTTCCCAGTCTCATCGCTCCCCAGTGTCCCTCCTGAGGTCTCGGTTGTCTGAAGGCTCCTCAGGACCTGCACACGCTAACATTCTTGCTTTCATACCTTCTCCTCTTCACTTAGTTAACTCCTGCCCATCATTTAGGGTCCCCTTCCCTGGGTCAACTCCCATCTTAGCATTTCTCACTCCATGTCATTAGCCTCTCTTTGCCTATCTACTCCTCTGGCCTATGAGCTCCTTGAGGACAGAGATGGTGCACCGTCCATCTGTGTACTCTCAGTACCTGGCACGGTGACCAGCAGTCACGGGACACTCAAATGTTTGTTCAACAAATCGAGGAAACAAAAGAGAAACTTTGGTTTCTCTTAAAGCGTTCTGTATCTTCATTTCTGGGACGTTCTTAAGAGAAAATGAAAGGTCAGAGAGGTTAAGAATACACTGCCTGTGGTTAGACAACTAATAAATATTATGAGACCAGGTCTTCCAGATATCTCAACTTCCCTTCCTCTGTATCGAGGTTTCTCAACCTTGACACAACTGACCTTTGGGGCTGGACAGTTCCTTATTGCTGGTGCTGTCCTGTGTATGGTGGACTATTTACCAGGATCCCTGGCCTCTACCCACTAGATACCAGCAGCACCCTCCCCCAAGCTAAGACAACCAAAAATGTCTCCAGAGATTGCCAGAGTCCCCTGGGGGCAAAATTGAACCTGGTTAAGAACCACTAATGACTCTAAGCAATGGCCTGTGGAAAGGAGACTTTGTCCACAGCCTCCCTCCACCCCCCCCCCCCCCCCCCAATCTCTCAACACTTCCTCAGCCATCCAGGTAAACACACTTTGTGCTTCCTGTGCCAACAGAGCTTGCAGACCAATCACCTTAGGCCCACTGTCCGGCCAGATGGCTGTCCCTCAGCCCCTTCTCTATGGAGATTCTGTCCTGGGCATATTGGAACCAAGGGGGACGGGCAGCCAAGGCCAGGGGGCACCTTAATGTCCCTCCAAACTAATACCTGACAGGAAACCACAATCCTGCGAAGAAGAGAGCCTGCATTTAAGTGGCCAAACCGAAGCGTAACGGAGAGGGAAGCACCTGGGCCCTTCTGCCTCCTGGCAACTTTCTCCTTTTGGCAACTTGGCAGGGGCATGCGTGTGCGTAGTGGCTTCAGCCCTCCACCGTCTCCATCGGCCCATGGAAAGCCACTCAACCCACATACAAAAGGGAAAATAGTGAGCTCCCTTTGCAAAGACGGGAGTGCGAGAGCCTCGCTGTCCATTTTTGCAGGCAACGTCTCTTCCAAACTGAAGTTCTAGAGCCACCTGGAGCCACCACTGCTTGAAGACACTGCCCCATCATGCACTGGCAACTCAGCTTTACAGAGCACCAAGTTTTGGTTTTCACTCTCTGAAAATGTCAAGGAACGACAATTTCTCCCTTCTCCCCCTAGGACAAACTGTTCCTTTAGGACAAACTGTTCAGAGGCACGTAATATTCAATTCATTTCAACTGAAGAGAAAAGGACAGAGAGTCGAAGCGTAATTCTCTCAGGAGGATTTAACTTTTTTAAATGAGAATTTCTAGACTGAAAGGAATGAAGTGCTTATGGCAGAATTTTGTGAAAGACCTCAAAATATTCCCTAGCCTAAAGCCCTTCCTGTAAGACCAAACCAGGCAGTGCACCCATGTGTTATCAACCGCCTGTGGCTTCCCTGTCAGAATGATTGACAGTCCGGAACGGAAGTTGTCTCTCTCACCATGTGTCCAGCTCTGAGAATCCAGTAGAAAGCCAGGTTCTTGTGGCACTTGACAAAGGCAGACGTTTCAGAAGATTCGGGGTCACTGTACAGAGGCTTCCATTTTAGCTGATTGAATTTGGGCAGCTCTGTCCACTTCAGTTTCCGCACCCAGGCCTCCTGACCTGGCAAGAGGGACGGAGAAGGGCCCAGCATTAACCACTGAGTAGAGTAGAGACAAAGTGTTTCCCAAAGTGTAACGTGCATACAACTAACCCTTGTAACAATGCAAATTCTGATTCAGTAGGTCTGGGTGGGGCCTGAGATTCTGGGTTTCCCATAAGCCCCCCGTGAGACCCAGGAGAAACCTAAGCTGTGAAGCCTGACTACTCTTTGCCTCTCACTGTCCCATGGCCACATGCTCTGTAGGAAGGGAACTGGGGAGCTCTGGAGGTGACAGGGCCATCAGGAGGAATGAGAGGTCTCAGGGTTAGGAGACGGACTCGTGCATCACCCAGGCAGTTTGTGGAAGAAACGCAGAAACTTTTCATGTTGTCTTTAGTGCCCTTGGCTGACAAGTCACAAAAAAAAATTCAATTTTGTTGACTTTGAGAAACACACCACACCCACCAGACCATGTGCCTTCATTCATGCCTGTTCTGAGAGCCTGCCTCTGCGCCTCTACCTGGCCCTCAAGAAACCAGGAGTGGGCACATGGTGCCCGCCAGTGTGACAGGAACTCCACGAAGACCATTTCTCCTGGGTCCTCAGTTTCACAGAGCCATTAGGGTTGAGTCTTAATTCGCCTTGAAGTGCTTACCATCTACTGTGAGATTACACAGAAACAAGGATTTCCCTGAATTACATAGTCCATTTGCCCAATGGTCAGGAAAATGTCTTCTTTTGTATTTTTGTGGAGGAGGGGTAGGTATTGTTCTTTTCTTTAATTATACTTAAGGGCCTTGAAAGCTGGATGGGCCCACGCTTCTCTTAGTGGGGGATTAAGGCTTCAGGCAGCTCTACCCTCTTTAAAAAGTCAATGTCAGGGGTGGATGGATATAACAGGAAATGGCCTTCCTCCCAGCATTTCAAGGTCGCAAACCCACGACTGCCACATCTGAGGCCAGTTCCCTTCCTGCTCAGCCCATCACACTGCCACCATGTGCCCCTCTGAGTGGGTTCCTACCCATGGTGTCCACAATGAGATCAAGCTGTCCGTTATACACAGTCACGTTGACCCCGGCTTCCAGCAGCTCATCCACAATGCTGATGACCGGCTTCATGAAATCCTCTTCCATGTTCAGGAAGACGTCGTTAGCCTGGCCTGCAAAGAAGGAAGGAGAAAGAGGCAGCAGCTTGGAATCTCAGCAGCCCGCTGCTGGCCAGCCCCACTGTAGCCTACGCCATCACCGGCCACTCACGGCAGCCCAGCTCCAGGTCGAGCTGTTGTTCACCATCTTAGCTATAGAAGGCGCAGCGTCACTGGCCCTCATGTGGGATCCGAACTGGGGCCCTGTTGCTCAGAGCTGGCGTCCCAAACCAGCTCTTAACCAACACGCCACTCGGCTAGCCCAGCACCAGCATTTTTAATGAGGAACTGAAACCTAGAAAAGGCCAGTGCTCAAGGAAACTGGGAGGCTTGGAAAATACTCAACTAGGCGGGTCCTCTCAGGGAACAACCTGTACTTCTAGGCCAGTGTTCGTCTTCCTCCTTTCCTAAGTAATACCAGGGCCAAGTTTTAAGTGCTGAACAAGTGGGGCTACCCTAGTCACACACCAAGTCACACCCAGACCAATTCAGAGCCAGCCCTCCGGAAAGCCCTGTGGAGGACTAGCCCTAAGCAAGAGATGAGATGGTTAGCACAGCATTCACACTGGATTCCTGACCACCATCACCATCATCATAATACTGAACAACAAGAACAGTAGCAGCTACCATTTATTTTTATTTGACAGTCACTGAGCTAAGTAAGCACTTTACAAGCAACATCCCATTTTGTCTTCATCGTTACCCTGGGGGAGGTAAGGAGTCTTAACGTGTGCAATGGTTAAAGAAAATGAGGCTCAGAGAGGCTAAGAAACATGCCCAGAGTGAAACAGCTAGTCAGTGGCAAGCTGGGATATGAACGCACGCCTGGCTGACTCCAACGTATGTAAGCTTAACCACAAACTGGAACTCATGACTCTTTGGGGGGTACTGGCCGAGGACACTTTGTCCTTCCCAGATCAGACATAGACACATGTGGAGCCAAAGACAATTTTCTCTGTTAGTCATCATCTGCAAACATGTAGTCACCTGGCCCATCCAGCCACACGGGGCAGGGAGGGAGGGTTGCTATCAGCAGAGAAGCTGGGGCTGGCAAACGCCATCATGAAGATCAAATGAGGGAGCTGAGCTGAAAACATGTGCTCTCAGGAGTCTGAGCTGGACCTTTCTCCCATGATGCTCACCGTTTCTTCTCAGCATCATGACAGCTCCCCATAGTTGTTCCAATCCCTTACAGCTCTGATACCACATTCTTTTTATTTGATCGAATTAACTTTTCCCCTTCATTTCTAGAAAACTCTAAGAGGTGAGGGGAAAATGAAGACACCAGCTCTAGGATGAGTCCTCTGGTGACTATAGGTTGGGAGGATGGCCCGTGTTCCCTGAGGAAGCCCAGGCTGCTGAGTCTTAGCTTCTCAGCATCTGTCAAGGGCCCACCCTAGAAAAACCTCCAGATCGTAACTTTGGGGTATTTCAGACACAAATGAAACCCTCCTCAGCGTGGAGTGTTTCCTCTCCAGGAGCATGGGTGTTTCACTTGCTCAAGGCCTCTCTATAGGACTAAACAGGGACTTAAGTAAGATTTGCACTTGGCCTTGGTCTCTGAGGACTCCAGTATTTCCTCACTATGGCCTCCAGGCCAGAATACAGTAGACCCCTGGACCACATCCAGAATCAGGAGGCCTGGGGAGGCCGGCCAGAGAGAACTGCTCAAACCTGTCTAAAACGACCTTTGTCTGGAAGTCACACCTGTAACCAAGTGGCCTTGGGCATGGCTTTTTTAAATCTCCATTTGTTACTATGGAAAACTTCAAACCGATATAAAAGCAAAGAGAAGATTATCATGACCCTCATGTCCCCTCACCTGGCTTCAACAATTACCCCATCCTAACCGATCGTTTCCGTTCTCTCCCCACCATCCCCTTATTCTGAACCAAACTTGGCACATTATTTAATATCTCTATATTTCTTTGCTCATCTATACAATGTGGATAACACTGTTCTACCCGCAATGTACTATCACCACCACCGAAACCCATTCTACAAATTCAAGCCTTTGAACTTGCACCTTTCTTTGCCCTCCAACTCTACACATGGCCCTTAATTAGGTCACGTAAATTACCTCCCCAGGAGCAATCCTCAGGAATAATTTTGAGCTTCTTTCTGATGGGACCGTTCATGAGCTGATTTAAGGAGTCCTGATGTAGGTGTCTCACGTGGCGTTGCAAAAGATGAACTAAATAAAAGAAACTGGTACACGGTGAGTCCAAAGGAGTGGAAATGAGACAGGAGGACATCTTTTCCAAGCTGCTGGGGGATGCTGTGCATAAGGGGGATGGGGGTGGAGGGCTTTCAGCTGGAAAATGTCACCTGGCTTCACCTCAAAGGGAGGAAGAAAGTCAGAAACATGTTGAAAGTGGAGAGCACTTATTAGTCTTGATCACTGCATTTTATGTATTGTGGGGCCCCTGAGATTATCCAGCATGGCCAAAGGAAGTCAGCTGAGAAGTAGAATCCAGAGGATTCCTGCAGCCTTTATGTGACTCTTCCAGAGGGGGGATGTCAGCATGTGGCCCCTGCAGGGAAGCTGTGACAGCTAAAGACAACCCAGTCCAGCCTGCAGGGGGACTGGCATTGTAACCCGGCTTGCGGGAACTGGTTTCCGAACTTCAAAAACACTGGGCTAAGTAAAAGAAGCCAGATGTTGAAAAGGCTACCTATTGCACGATGCCATTTCTATGAAAGGCTCTGAAAAGGCAAGTCTGGAGACGCTGAGAGCAGATTAGTGGTTGCCTGGGGCTGGGAGTGGGAATGAGAATCAACTGCAAACAGACATGCGGCAATCTTTCTGGGGGGGATGGATATGTTCTAGAACTGGGTTGTGGTGAGGATTGCATAACTCTGTGAATGTACGAAACACCATGGACTTACACTTAAAATGGATCAATTTTATGGTATGTAAATTATACATCAATAAAGCTTTTTAGTCCGGGGACAGGTGGTTACTAGACTTATTGTGGTGGTTGCTCTGTAAGGTATACAAATGTTGAATCACTGTGTTGTACGCCTGATACTAATATTGAATGTCAACTATACTTTAAAAAAAAAAAGTAAGTAAATACATAAGCAAATAAAATAAAGTTTTTAAAAGAAATTGGTTTCATGTCGTACAGAGGCTGAGACACAGCCTGGTAACTTCGAGGTTCACTCACCTAGGTGGCTCTGGGTGAATTCCAGGCTCAACTTCATTGCAGACTTGGGAGCAATTTTAGTTAAGATGTTGTAGAAGTTCACCCCATCTGTGTTCTGAAACATAGAAGTATGTTTTGGCTGTTGGTTTTATTTGTCCATTATCAAAGTTGCAAAACGGAAAGGTACTTGGCCCTTCATCTTATCCAAGGGCAGTGTAATCTTTGTAAATCTGCTCGGACCAGAAAGAAATGCAGCTCTACAGGTTCAGAGACCAGCGGAGTCAGCCCAGGCTCCTGGGGGTAGCGAGCAGATCATATGAGTGGAGCTCAGATGCTGCAGGAGACAACCATGGGCTTGTGTGTTAACTGACAGGCAGAACAAGCTGCAGAGAGTCCCACACACTCAAATCCTCAGCCCCTGCGTTCTTCCCTCTGGCTCACAAGCATCAGAATGCTGCTTGCCAAGAATCCAAACACTCGCCTTTGCAAGGCATATTGTTTCTTATGGGATCCGTACAGTCAGTCAAGGCACGAGCAAGTCTTGCAGGCGTGGGTGGCCTTCTGACCCCGTCAGTGCTCAGAGCCGTCAGATTTATCATTTAGTGTGGTTTTGGGGGAGTTTCAAGATAGACCCCAATTCTGACACCACCGCCCAGGGGCCCTTCATCCAAGAGAAAAATCCAACGGGGCTGGCCTCCGAGCATGTCCTCTTACCTGTTCAATGATCGTTTCTGCTTTTCCCCACAGCTGGGTAGCCGTTTTGTAGAGCCCCTTGTTTACAGCATCCAGGACTTGCTCTGCGACCTGAGACACCTCTGCCAGACCTTGGTCATCAAGAAGAGACTGGAATGCAAACCAAGAACACAAAGGCCAGTTTTGTTTAGGAACACACATCTGGCGTTGCTATGGTTAGGGATGGGTAACACAAAGAATGGAAAGTAGAAAGGGGAGTTTATATACGAAAGCATCTTATTTACAAGTCACGTATTTATTATGAAAGAAATACAGCCAAATGTGAGCTGAGTCCCGATGGTGGGGATATGGGTGTTCACAGTGCTCTGTCAACTTTTCTGCGTATTTGAAAATTTGTATAATAGAATGTTGGGGGATTTAAAAAAGTGTTCCTTGGACCTGGAGAAATGGGATAACTGTGCTGATGTTTCTTTACATTTGTCCCAAGGCCAGCTGTTGCTTAGGGTCTCCAATTTGATGTGGACTAAGCGCCCCTAGGGAGCAGGGTCAACCGCACGGGCACACTCAGCTAGCTTTATCCTTCCCGAGGTCAGAGCCAAAAGAGGTCAGCTGGGCTGCTGACCACGGAGGGTGCAGAGGTGAGGCCCCACCTACTTACCACACTGTACAGGTAAGGTCCCCAGGAGAGCACCGAATCTAAAGGAAACCACATATGTACAAAATAAGTCTGTCATGACTCTGTCCTCCCAAAGGAAAATGTAACTAGCCTCCCTCCCAAAGCAGAAAGAGACAGAAGCCAGAAACCTGGTGGCTTTGGAGCAGAAGGCTCCTTCCCTCACCAGTGCCCAGGCAGGAAACAAGCTAATGTCTCAGTGGCTGGGAGGTGGCACAAGGGTGTGGGGACATATCTGTTGACTCGGGGCTAATGGCACGTTAATGTGGCCTGATACTGGCCCAGTGAGTGAGTCACAGCCAGTGATGGCATCTCCACAGGCAGGCAGTGCTGGTGCTGCGAGGAGCTTATCTGTAGACTTCGAGGCTTTTTGACAGCTTAAAATATTTCTCCGCCCTCACATTTCGGCTCTGCTTCCTGCTTACGCCTCCAATTTGGGGACACTACTTCTGCCAAGAAGCTAATTAAGGAAGAAGACTAATGATTTTGTAATTCAAGCGTCTGTGGCTATACTGCCAATCAATTAATTTCCATTCCACAAATATACTAAGAATTTACTAAGGGCCTGAAGCCAGTAAGGAGATTTATAAGATATAAATACGTCTGCCCTCAAAGAGAATAGCTGGGCTTGGTTTAGACAAGTTCACAATTACCACGGACCCAGGTTAGGCCAGCGCCATTGGGACATGTGCCAGCCAACATGGTATCAAGGATCACAAGTTACAAAGTACATTTGAACATATCGCTCCTTTGCTTAAAAAAGCATGCTTGGTACCCTTGGGCCAAGCATCTCAAAGTATGTTTCTTTTTTCTTTTTTTTTTTAAATTTTATTGGGGAACAGCCATGGTCATTGGTTACACATTGTTTTCATGCTACAATGGCATAGTTGACTCTTTTAAGGAGGGTGCAGCTGACAGTGGCCCATGCGGGTATCAAACCGGCAACCTTGGTGTTATCAGCACCTCGCTCTACCCAACTGAGCTAACCGGTCACCCCCATCAACATATGTTTCAAATAACCTCGGTTCTGCAGGATTTTAATCTAGGCCTTAAAAGAAAAACTAATTCTTTGGTGAAATATCGTTGGGGTTATGCAAAATATAACACCTATCTTTACTGCGGGACGTCTCAGAGCCTCTGACCGTGCTTGTGAAACCCTGAGGAGGTGGAGCCTGTGTTTAGCCCTTCCAAAACATATTTGACTCCGGAGCCCTTTGTATAGCACCTCATTGGACTGGTATTTTTGAGTACACCCTGAGAGGTGCAGGCACACCAGGTCCTCCTGAACCTAGCTCCCCACTTCCCTCTCCAGTTAACCTTTAAGCCCGTGCCTTCGTTTCTTAAATACAGAATTGCCTGTAATTCTCCAGTGCATCCCATTCCCTGCTTGATTTAGACCAGAGGCTGCAAATTTTTTCTGTAAAAAGGGATAAATAGTAAATATTCTTGGCTTTGCAGTCTGGCCTGGCCTCTGTCGCAACTACTCCACTTTGTTGTTGCAGCCTCCAAATATGTAAAAAAAATGGGCGTGACTATGTCCCTGTAAAACCTTATTTACCAAAGCAGCTGACAAGGCACACTTGACTTATAGGCCACGGCCTGCTAACCTCTGATGTAAACCTGAGATGTCCAGCAAAACCTTCGGCCATGATGGAAACGCTCTAGATCTGGGTAGTCCAAAACAATAGTCAGTAGCCACATGTGACTATGGGGCACTTGAAATCTGCATAGTGCAGTTGAAAGATTGAAATTTGTATTGTATTTTAATTATTTTAAATTTAAATAGTCACATGTGGCTATGGCTACCATATTGAACTGTGCAGTTCTCCTAGAAGACATGTCTGTATATATTTCCTCGCACCTAACACGATACCTACTACCGAGCAAGCCATTAAGACCTGTTCATTAAAATTAACAGTGCCTCTCCCTCAAAAAGGGAGTACTTCTGGGATGGAGGGGTGATACTTCAAGTGGATCTGGAAGGAGGGAGTAAGACCTGGGTAAAAAAGTTTCACAAGGGGAAGTGGGTCACAGTAAGGTGAAAAAGATTTTGGGCAGGATGAGTAACACCTGAAAAGCCATGAGGTGAAACTCACTGGTCTTCTGGGGGCAGTGTAGTGTAATGGGTAAGTTCATGGATTCCAATACCTGCTGCCTGGATTTGAGTCCTGGCTTTAGCTGTGCAACTCTAAAAAAAATTGCTTAACATCTCTGAGTCTGTTTCATCATCTCCAAAATCGGGATAATAATAGCATTCATCCCATGGAGCTGTTGTTAAGGAGTAAATGAACACATGCCAAGCGTGTAGTGTTGTGACGAAACTGTGATGAGACCCCAGCAGGAAGCGTGAAGGCGAGTGCTGAAATTTTGAGTGAGGCATCTGGCAAGAAACCTGCTGGGCTCTCATGCCTCTCTGATCAAGGCATCTGTAGCTTCGTGATGTCCTAGGAGGTTCATCCAGGAAGGACAAACAAGCAGCAGCCATTCTCTCCATGACTCAGAGCTCTCAGCTATGCCATTTCCATCCTACCTGGCAGATGCCAAGAATGAGGGCAAGAAAATAACCACTCCGAGTAGCAGCAGCATATCCCAAGTCCATGAAGGACATGGCTCTGTCACAAGCCAAATCCCTATCTTTCAGGGGGAAAATATTACCTTTTTTATAAATTGTTATTTTTAAAAACCGAGGCATACTCACACACCGCAAGTCACGAAGGTACACGTAGAAGAGTTTTGATAAATGCACATACACCCAGGTAATGGCCACCCCGATGAAGATGTAGAGCACAGAAAGCCTAGCAAGTTCTCTCCTGGCCCGTTTCAGCTTGTCCCCCTCCGCCCTCCACGGACAACATCACTTCTGATTTCTAACTGTAGAGTTAGGTTTTGCCTGAAAAGTCACCTTTATTAGGTCAGAGCAGTAGTTCTCAACTGGGGGTGATTTTGTCCCTCAGAGGTATTTGGCAATGTCTGGAGATATTTGTGGTTGTCACACTGGGGTGGAAATGCTGTCATCTGAAGGGCAGAGATGCTGCTGGCATTCTACAACACACAGCACAGCCCCCCAACAACGAAGACTTACACGACTCAAACTGTCAAAAGTGCTGAGGTTTAGGGCCGGCTGAGTGGCGCGATGGTTAAGAACTGGCTTGGGATGCCAGAGGGTCCCGGTTCGGATCCCACATGAGGGCCAGTGACACTGCCCTCCACAGCTAAGATGCTGAACAACAGCTCAACCGGGAGCTGGGATGTCGTGAGTCGCCGGCGACGGCGTAGACTGCAGTCCCTGTGGCAGTGGGTTGCCATGGGCTACTGTATGTAGCCAGCAGCCAGCGTGAGCGGCAGTCTAGAAGCCGGCGACTGATCTGCCTCGCCCGGGAAAAGCGCAATGATGGTGACAACTTGGGCCAGTGAAGCAACATCCTCCACAACTAGACTGAAGAACAAAAGGACAGCAACTTGTCTGTTCCCCTTCCCCCAATTCCCCAGCACTGTTCCCATCCCCCCAGTTCCCCAATAAAAAAATCTTTAAAAAAAAAAAAAAGTGCTGAGGTTTAGAATACTGTGGTAAAGTCAACCCCACCAAGGTGACTATTTCAGATGTCTGAAGCCACACCCCAGATGCCTGCAACATAGACAATTTTTTTTTATACTCCCAACAAGGATGCTCAGGTTATGAAGCTGTAAACCTCTGAGTCGCAGGACCTGATGGTAACCTTGTCTCATCATCAACATGAGCAACAAATGGAAGTTTTACCCCAAAGGCTCATGCCAGCATCAGGGTGATAGAGGGGATGGAATGACAGGCCCGGGGTTGAATACTGACCAGACCACTCATGCTGTGTGTCAGAGGGCAAATTCTATGACTTCTCTGAGTCTTTAGAATACCTTCAACTGGAAAATTTGATTCTCTTGTTAGGAGGCTTGAATAAGAGACTTCGGTTCAGCCCGTAGCAGGTGCTGTGTACACGAGTTCTCATCTCCATTCTTAGATGGCCCTGGGGCAAACACTTTCAGTGTGAACTTTTCCAAGGTCCCCAAAAATTCCATTGCCTTTTTCTTTGATGTGGATGACGCAGCCCAGAGTCCCAGAGAAGGATGAGGAAAGGAAGAAAAAAAAAATATCTGAAAAGTTTGGACTTACCAACAGGGGAGATCCAGGAGTCACCCAAAGCAACCCCAGCAAAGTTGCACTGGATGGTCCCTTGCTGAATGGCCTGAAAGGGGAGGAGCCAAGAAACAGCCTGTCAAGGAGATGGAGAGGCCTCCATCCCTTCCTCAACAGAAACGAGCGTCGCCTTTCCTGAGCACAGAAAACTTCTGCCCACCCTTTCCAAGAGTCCCCAGGTCTCCGAAGACCTCAGATACCAGTAGACAGCAAGAGTACCTCTTTCCTGCCGCCATTTGCAAAATAAGTAGGAACTACTGAGTTTCCCTCTACTCTTTTCATAAGGGTGTTGGCCGGACGTGTGTGGAGTCTGGCGCAGACCCTAGCTTCTTTCGGAGAGACACTGCCCATCCCCCCAGGTCTGATTTCTCACAAGGTGCCCAGTGGGCTCCTTGAGTACAACCCTTACTGCCCATGCTGCCGTCACTGAAAAGCTGGGAGGACTCCTCAGGAGGTCCTCAGGGGCGGGATGATGCCTTAGGACTGGGAGCTCATGCTCCTCTGCTCCTTTTTTCATTTAACAATAACACAGTAGCAGAAAATCGGAAACAATCTGAGTATTGTAGGATGGGCTAAATGAATTATGGTTATTTCCACACCTGCACCTGATGCAACGTGAAAAAACAATGAGAAGGCTCTTTATGGGGTGATAGGAAAAGATCTCCAAGATATACTGTTAAATTTTAAAAAGAGATGTATAGAATAGTGTGTAGTATGTACTATTATTTATATAAAAATGGGAAAAGATCCTATACGTGAATTAGCTTTTATCGGCATGAAATACCTGTGGAAAGGGATAGAAGAAACGAACAACAGACGCTGTCTTAGGGGAGACAGACAGAGGCAAGAGGGAGAATTGTTAGAGTATACCTTTTATATTTTTTGAATTTTGAATTATGCGAATGCACAAGCTATCCAGAGATCTAAAATAAGAAAACAATGAATATCCTGACTGAACATTGGTAATTAAAGCGAATTATGCATTTATCTGGCTTTTCCAGAAGGAACTTATTTCAAGTGACCTAAACAGTCCCAGGTGATGAGGGAAAGTTCCATGTTATGAAAGAATACCAGCTAAGAGATGTGCACGAAATGATGGGAGAAAAGCATCGTTTTGAAACGCCTCATGAAATTACTGACTTAATGTGAGAATTAAGAATTGATGTGAAAGCCATTTGGTGAAAGAACAATTAAGAACTGGATATCCATATAGTGTGAAAATAACACTAGTCAAATAACTTTCTGTCCAGGGGGAGGGCGTAAGAGTTCACTGGAGGGATCAGACTAGATCTGGAGTTATGTGCCTTCTGATTCAAAGCAAAATAATCTGCACACCACCACCTATATCAGCAGTTGACAATTGTTTCTATAAAGGGCCAGGTAGTAAATATTTTAGGCTTTAGACCAAATAGTCTATGTTGCAATTACTCAACTCTGACTTTGTATTATTGCTAAAGCAGCCACAGGCAATATGTAAATAAATGAGAGTTCTAATAAAACTTTATTTATGGACACTGAGATTCAGTTTTCTGTCATTTTTATGTGTCACAAAACATTATTTTTCTTTTAATCAGCGCCCCCGCCCCCCGCCACTTGAAAATGTGAAAACAATTCTTAGTTCATAGGTCATGTACAAACAGGTGGTGGGCTGGATTTCACTTAGCCATAGTTTCCTGAAACCTGATTATGAAAATATACATATATATATATATATATATATATATATATATAATATTATCCAACACTTTTTCCTTGAATGCATAAGACCTTTAGATATAACTTCCAGTTTTATAGGAAACACAGTAAAGAGAGGAAGACTAAATAATACTATGAGGATGGTACCAGACAAATTCAGAAAATGGGACATCGTGCAAGATACAGAGTTTGGTTTCTTTACACAATCAGGGTCATAAAAAAGGGGCTGTGCTCGATGAAAACAGACTTTAGGGACACCACAGCCAGACAGGATTCATGGACCTGGATTGAGTATTAAACAAATCAGCTATTAAAGGACATGCTGAGATCATCAAAGAAGCCTGAATATTTGAAAGTTGACTGAAATGGGAAGATGAGGACTAGCGATTGAAGAAAACAGGCTGTAGGCATCATGTATTATATAATACGATCTCATATTAGCTAAACAATTATTTACTTATAAAAGTACAGAAAAAGATTTAAAGGTTATACACTAAAGTGTTCACAGTGGTCATCTCCATCTGGTGAGAAGGGGAAATTTTAATTGGTGCTTGCTGTATTTTCTAATTTTCTGTTATGCACATACATAGCTTCTTATTAAAAGGTTCATCTTTTAAAAAGGAATTAATAAATATTAAAAAAATAAAATGCATACAAGCTCACTATAAAAAATTTAAACACAGAAAGGGACAGGAGAAAATGCGGAAAAACTCTTTCACCTCTGCCCCACTCACACCGTCACAGTCACTAGCTAACCCCAGTTAACATGTTATGAGTATCCTTCTGACCCTTTTCTTTGCTTTCAGAAGCACATATATACACATACATATATATAGACCTATCCATTCTTTATGATGGCTGTGAAATGTTCCATCGTGGAAAGATATACCTATTTTATTTAAATAATCCTACAGATAGCCATTGAGCTTGTTTTCAATTTGTGGACATTGTAAGTTCTGGTGTACTAAACATCAGCTGACACACCCATATGTATAAGTAACTTCCATAGGACAGATTCCTGGAAGTGAAATTATTGGGTCAAAGATCATATACATTTTAAAAGTTGATAGATACTGCCAAATTGCCATTTTAAAATGATTTACCAATTTCCATTTCCACCAAAAGCACATGAGAGCACTTATTTCCCTGACTTTTTACCAAAGCTGCATGTTACCAATCTTTTAAATATTTTCAAATCTCACAGGTTTGACTTACTAATAAAAATTGAGCATTTTTCATATGTCCACAGACTATTTGCATTTCTTCTGTAAATTGCTTGTACATATTTTTTGCCAATTTTCTACTAGAATATTGTCTAATTTTTATGGATTTATTGATGTGACTATTGATGGAACTCTAAGAAGTTTTAAATTTGTTTGTGGTCTAAATATGTCAAACTTAACTTCTTTTGGATTTGGAGTGCTTCGTCTTATGAAGGAAAGCTTTCCTACCCAAGATTATAAAACTTTTCTCCTATATTTTCAGGTTCTCTTATAGTTTTGATTTTTATGTTTAGATTTTTAATCTATCTAGAACTGATGTTTTATGCAAGGCAAGAATTCAACTTCATTATTTTCCAAAGTGATAGCCATTTGTCTCCATACCACTTATTGCATATTCTGTCTGTTCTCCCATGATTTGAAATGCTATCTTATTTATATATGACCGTATGGAAGTGTGATATATATATACCCTATGTATTATATACATATGCATAGATACATATACATACAAGTATATATTAAATCTGTCTCTAGATTCTTTATCCTGTTGCATTTCACTTATTTGTTGCTATGCCAGCACCACACTGTTTTACTGATTGTAGCTTTATAGCATGTTTGATATCTGGTAGGGCGGCCTTCACTGTTCTTTTTGAAACTTTTCATGCTTATTATTACAGACTTGCTCTTACTCTGTATGTACAAGGTCCTATTCAAAGTACATTCAAGGGCCGGCCGAGTGGTGCGATGGTTAAGAACTCGCTTGGGATGCCAGAGGGCCCTGGTTCGGATCCCACATATGAGGGCCGGTGACACTGCCCTCTACAGCTAAGATGCTGAACAACAGCTCAACCTGGAGCTGGGCTGCTGTGAGTCGCCGGCGACGGCGTGGGCTGCAGTCCCTGTGGCAGTGGGTTACCATGGGCTACCGTGTGTAGCCAGCAGCCAGCGTGAGCGGCCAGCAGCCGCAGTGAGCGGCCGTCCAGAAGCCGGCGACTGATCTGCCTCGCCCGGGAAGAGCGCAATGATGGTGCCAGCTTGGGCCAGTGAAGCAACGTCCTCCACAACTAGACTGAAGAACAAAATGACAGCAACTTGTCTGTCCCCCTTCCCCCAATTCCCCAGCACTGTTCCCATCCCCCCAATTCACCAATAAAAATCTTTAAAAAAAAACAACAACAAAGTACATTCAATATAAGGTGAGTATTAAAAGTAACATAATCATTTTCTGTCTGAAACCCACACAACTGTCATCTTCCTTGTTACCTTATGAAGCTCTAGAGCGATGCCAGCAGCCATTTTTCCTCCGTAGGACTCTGAGAAAATGTAGAATGGAATCGTCTGGCAAGAAAAGGAATTTACAAAGAACTAAATGTCCTGAATGCCTTTTAATTCACACAAATTAGTTTCAAATTTCTATGGCATATCATAGCCAGACAAATCTGCTTTTCTTTGTCTTTCCTCCTCATATCTGTTTATTATGTTAGATTAGAATACTGATTCCAGGGTCATTCTTTCAAACTAAAAACCACCTTGATTAAAGGCTCGCTCAAGAGTGCGAGCTCTGAGCAACAGCGGTTCGATGCCCGGCCCGAGCTGAGTTGCCGCTGAGCTGCCAACAGGTGGCAGGAGGATGGCTCAGCTAAAAAAATAAATAAAAAAAATAAAAACCACCTTGATATAAGACATGATATAAACAAAAGCCCACAACCCAATCTTGGGTGTAAAAAGGTTTCCCTGACATCAGCTGGGTATTGAACTCTTGGGGAGGTTTATCCTGGTGGATGTGGCGTCACTACTGCTAGCCCCTTGCTTTGCGCTTCCTGAGTCTTTGCTTACCTGGAATTCTTTGTGGCAACTGAAGAAGGACTTCAGGAGAACCAACATGTCTGAGGCCACCGTGGCCAGGTCTTTGGCATATGCATCATCCTTGCTCACATAACTGAACCCCGTGCCCACGGGGTTATCCACGAACAGGAGACTGGCAGACTGGAGCTGCGTGCCACAGAGGAAAACCAAATGTCAGTCAGTCACCAGTCACCTTTTGATCATCTTGTATGAGCGCAACAAAACCACACATGTGACGGTATCAGTGTGCTTAGGATCCTGTTGCTAAAAAGGGATTTTCAAAAACAAAGGACAGGAACATAGACGACTTACTTCAGTAAAAAAAAAAAAAAAAAGAAAGGCAAGAAGGGAAAGATTAACATATATATGGGGGTGAGAGCACCAAAGCTGTCACTTTTCCCACGATACAAATGTCCTAAATGTAATCCATTAAAGCAAGTAGAACCACGCCGTGTCAATAGCTGGAAGCAATGAGAATACATCCAAGGTCTGAATACCACACATCGGTTGTCTTCCAGGGGAATCCAATTTCCACATTGGCTTGGCTTCCCCGTGCCCTACAAGAACAGAACTTATTCTAATACCTTCTCCAAAGAGGCTTGAGTTATAGAATTTTACATCTAGAAGGATCCTTAGTGATGACACAGTCTAGCCATGTCCTTTACTGATCAGGAAATGAAAGCTCAGAAAGGACCCAGGATTTGTCCAAGGTCACAAAGCTGGACAGGTAATGGCAGCATCAGGACTGAGATCCGGGTCTCCTCGTTCCTCATTCGGGCTCTCTGCCCCAGTCATATTACCCTCTTAGTTTTGGGAGGCTTGGGGGACAAGCCAGTGGGGTACTCTGCTACTGCAAGTGGAAGTCAGTACAGGACCCTAAGGCAAGAGTAAGTAAAATGCACTTCAGGAAGACCAGTGTGGAGACAGACAAGAGAACCAAAGGACTCAGAGGGAGCCTTAAGCAACAGGTGATCCTGCATTAAGTCTTAAAGGATAGTAGATGTGAACATGGCGCGCTAAGTATGAATGGGTGGCCGAAGGAACAAATCCAAGCCAAGGAAACTGCCCACGCAGAGGCCTGAAGGTAGAGTGCACGGGGACAGATGATGGGAGATGTGACTGGAGGTAAGCAGAAGCCAGCTTATGCCCAGGAAGCTGAATCTGGTCTTTTGAGGTAACTGGAAGATGTTAAGCTAAGGAATAATGATTTGCATTGGAGCGTTTCATTCAAGCAGCATGTGGAAAATGCACTGAGGGGGGCTGGTACTTTGGAAGCAGCCACCCGTGGGCATGAAAATGGATGGATGAATATGAACAACGTTTGGTTATTAAACACAGCACTACCATATGACCCAGCAGGCCCGCTCTTAAGCATATACCCCGAAAAACTAAACATAGGAGCACAAACATTTGTACACCAATATCCCCTGCACTATTCTCAAGAGCCAAAAGGTGGAAACAACCCAAGAGTCCATCAACAGAAGAATGGACACACAAAATGTGATGTAGGATTATTCAGCCTTAAACAGGAACGAAGTACCACCTGAATATATGCTACCTGAGTGAATCTTGTAAACATTTTGCTAAATGAAAGGAACCACACACCAAAGGCCACATATTATATGATTCCATTGTTATAAAATGTCCAAAATAGGCAAATCTGTATATACAGACAGAAGGTGGTTGCCTGAGGAGGGATTGATGGGTGACAACTAAGGGACATAAGGCTTTTTGGGGGTGGGAGGGTAATGAAAATGTTCTGAAATGGATTGTGATAATGGTTGTAAAACTCTAAATATACTAAAAGCCACTGAATTGTACACATTAAATGGATCCACTGTATAGTATATGAATTATATCTCCATAAAGCTGTTTGTAAGAATTCATTTTTAGGTAAAAGTGATTGGACGATGGGGGTGGGAGGCAGGGGAGGTGAGGATGGCTCCCTGGTTTCTGGCTCCAGTACCTGAGTGGATGTGGGTACCATTTACCACAAGGGAAACAGGAAGTTGGCTGGTTTTGTGGGTGGACAGGGGTCCGGTATAGGAGATAGAATAATGAACACAATCTGGGATATGTCAAATATGTATGAGCGACGTCCACATGGAGTTACCCAAGGGGCAAGTGGCGAAATAGTTCTGGGGCAAAAGAGGACGCTCTCAGCTAGAGATACTGACTTGGGAGTCATCACCTTCTATGTGTCAGTAGAACAGTTTGGGAGGATGGGGCTGCCTGAAGAACACAAAGAAGAGGGAGTTAACAAGGACAGAGTGCTGGGAAATAGCAACATCTGAGATATGGCCAACAGTGCTACAAAGAAGTCCAATGACGATGGATGCCAAGAAGGACCTGATGCACTTGGAATTGGGAAGCCAGCATACCCTTGGGGACAATAGCTCTAGTGGAGTGATGGGGACAGACTGCCGTGGGTTTGGGCAGTGCTTCCCAACCCTGCCACAGAGGAAATAATATATGCACTGCATCCTAGAGTTAATGCACTGGGTTCCCTGGCACCCACTATCTCCCACCTGCAGCCCCCAGCTGTCAGAATCAATACTGCAGCACTCAGGAGAAGCTCTGGGTAGAGACAGGCAATAGCAAACATAAACAATTTTTGTATGAAAGGGTAGTAGCTGGAGGGACTTGTATAGTTGAGGGAGAATTTGTTTTTCAGCTGAGAAAGACCTGTGTATGTTTGCACCCCCCAGGAAAAGGCAGACTAGAGGGAATATACAGATATAGAAAGATAATAACCACTGAAGCGGAGCCTTAAGGGAAGTGACCTCAGCAGGGAGGGGCCTCACTTGTTTTGAGCTGGGCAGAAGGATGTAAGAGGGGCAGAAAGGTAAACACATTTATCGGTAAGGACAGGAAAATAGCTGGTTATGTGTGATGGCTTCTGTTCTCTCGGTGAGGCAGGGAGACAGGTTAGCTCCCAGTGTGGGAGGAAGGCTGGAGCAGGCGCCCCGAGGAAAGTGGAGAACATATGCAGCAACAGGTGCCATCAGGACAGGAGCAGAGCAGAAGCACAGAGCAAAGCGTGGCCACAAGCCCGGAGCAAAGCCCGCACTTGGGCAATAGCCCCACCTTACTGACAGTGCGGTTTTGCCCTCCAGTCTTTGGCCGCCTGGGGGTAGGGGCCAAGCAGGTGAGCAGTGGGACTGACTCAAGATCGGGTGTGGCAAGGCTGCAGAAGGAGAAGGGAAAGGGAGCCAGAGGGTGGGGGGTAAGGGAGCTGACCAGAGAGGGGTTAGGAGAGGGAGTGCAGCTGGGAATGAAGAACAGGGGTGGAGACAGAGACCAGAGAGACCTGAAAAGGATGGAGGACAAAGGGCTTGAGGTCTTGAGGAACTCAAGAAGCAGGGTAGGGAGAGAGGACGGGAAAGGATGGGCAATGGCGGTCCGAGGGGGGACCCTGGAGGCAGACTGCAGGGACAGCCAAAATGTGGGTAACGACAAGGTCCAGGGTGCCCGCTAGAGTAGGTTTCTGCAGACAAGTGGAGAGAAAGGTCACTAAAGGCAAGCGAGACCGTGGGGGGCAGTACTGCTCAACTTGTGAGCCCGCCCAGGAAGGGGTAGGCCGGGTGGGGCCCAGCCTTGGAGAGGCCACACAGCTGGGGCCATCCTCACCGTACCCAGGTAGTTGTGCGTGGTTTGAGGTCACTGTCGAGGGGCCCAATTTCCTCAAAGTTTCCAAATCCAGTGCTGGATCCGCCTGGACCACCCTGTGGAAGAGAAAAAACACAAAAACGAATGCATAGAAAATGTTACTTAAATCTAATCATTACAACAATGGCCACATTCCCGATAAACGATCTATGGTTTAGCGATGGCTGTGTCAGCCCTGCACTAAGGCACAATTCATCTGGTGAACTAGGGACTCCCGCACTCACCGAGCCCCCTGGTAACTGCTGAAGTCTTCCTAAAAGGAACAGAGCTGGGCTAAGAGCCCCCAGAGGAAACTTTCCTACCTCTGATTCCCTAGACTTGAGCCCTGGCCTGCCATGGGACTCACTGACCTTAAGGACGCCTTGTCCAAGTCCTCCCTCAAAGATAAGCAAGAAGGCTGAGCGAGGGGCCGTGGCAATCAGGGCTTCTACCAGGACTAGACCTGGGGACTTGTGACTCTCCACCACACCACCCTCTACAAGGGACCCAGACGGAGGGACAGTTTGATCAAGCGAATCCCTGGATACAATGTAGCAAACACAGAAGCACCAGTGCAAAGGTCACTTCACTTGGTACTGTGGCATCCAGGGACAGGGGACAGGCAGGGTTCTCAATGGGAACTTTGGGATGGGGTGCTGTCAGGGCTGGGGTCAATCGGTGACTCAGAAATATGGTAGATGTGTCAGTGAGCCAAAGGACATGCTGAAATGGCTCGAAAGTGTACCTAAAATAGCTCACTATTCTACTCAGACGATGTGACCTAGATTCTCAAAGAACCACCCAGCGAAGTCAGTACACGTTTCCTCAGTAGGCTGCTCAAACAGATCTCCTTTTAATCTAAATTAGTAATTATTTCTTTCTTGGTCATCATCCTTTTTCTTCTACCTTGGGCCTCTGAAGTAATGAAGAGCAGGTTACTTAGCGAGCCAGTTGAAAACCTTCAACTAGCATTTCAAAGGTGACCTAATCAAAGGTCACAAACTGGACTGTGTGCGATACAGAGAAATGAGGTGCTGGCTGAGGACGCCCCTCCTCCAGGGGCTCCTGCCCTGTCTGAAAGCGGGCCACCACCTCTCAGCTTTGGGGTAGTGAGTTCAGGCCCTAAGTTGCTACATCTCCTGATTTTTGACAAAGAGGAAAGAAATGTCTTGATTTTTAAACGTTGGCAAACTTATACAAATAAAAGCACCATCTAGCTCTGCAATCAACCAAAAGGGAGGTTTGCAACTTCTAAAATTCAGTGGTTTTCAAATTGTATTCCTGAAATCTCAGAAAGCACCCGAGGGCAGCATGTGACCAAGTGGAGGAGGTTGAATGGATGGGACTCTGCAGCCCACCCTCAGCACTTCTGCTTTCTTCTGCCTTGGTTCTCTGTTTGTAAGCTTTTACTTGGGGGTGGAAAGTTCTGCTAATGAGTGGGAAATTATAACAAAATCCCCTAGATTAAAAAGCCCAAGTCCAAGGGCCAGCCAAGTGGCTCAGTTGGTTAAGAGTTTGCTTAAGAGTACAAGCTCAAAAAAACAAACAGATGAAAGAAAAAGGAAGAAAACAACAACAACAACAACAACAAAAAAGAGTACGAGCTCTAAGCAACAGGGTCGCTGGTTCGATTCCCACATGGGTCAGTGAGCTTTGCCCGAGCTGTGCTACCAAGAGGTGGCAGGATGGCTCAGCTGGTGAGAGCACATGCTCCTAATGACAAGACTGCCAGTTCGATGGTAGGCTATGCCCACTCGTGGCTGGGATTGAACTCGGCACTTTGAGCTGAGCTGACGCCTGGATGGCTCAGTGGATAGAGCGTGTGCTCTTTACAGCAAGGTTACCGGTTCGACTCCTGCATGGGACAAAAAAAAAAAAAAAGCCCAAGTCCGGGAAAGGGAACGGGAAGTGTCCTGCCATAGCTCTAAGTGACAGGGAGGCATCGAAGACCCAGGACTTCTGACTGGCAGGTCTGGGCTTATCTACGGCAGGGCTCTCCTCAATAACCCTGCTGCCCGGGGTGGACAGAAGGCCCCTGGGCTATCTTTATGGGTTCTTCTTCTGCAGCATTTTCCTATCTGCACCCCCCGGCTGAGTCTCACCTCCAATTTATCAAAGGTGCTCTTCAGATAATCCTAAAACAGAAAAAGGCCCCTCCTGGCAAACTGCTCATTTTCTCTCTGTCTCCCCAGAAAGTCCGCATGGGCTGGCATGGGAGGCCAAGCCCGGGGTTCTGGGAGGCTACTTATGAATACTGTCATGTTTGCAGGAGTGACATCTGCATCCCATAGCGTCCTGTACCAGGACGTCCTGTTTGCTGGTGAGCAACCTGGAGCCCCAGCTGGGCCAGGCATACAGTTTCCAGAGGCTGATATAAGACCATACTCCTCAACCGCTCCCTAGAGATTGGTCTTCTAGGTAGGTGTGGGCCATCTCTGTGCAGATATTTTAGGAATGCAAGAAAGAATCCTCTGCCTGCCCCCAAATACCTCTTCACCGGTTCCATGCCTTCCATACTACAAGCAGAGCTCACGGGCAAAATGCAAACACATCTAGGGAGAAGGGTAGGGCCCAACATTTCATACTAAGATACAAGAGGCTGACTCCTTCTAAAAGATCAGTTTCTGGGGGCAAAAAGTTAGGGTCTAGGAAAGAACTGAAAAAAGAGGGAGAGGAAGGGCTTGTCAGGGTACCTCAGTCTTTGCTTTGGAAGCTTCCAAAACATCTTCTATCAGCATATAGTCAAATATGTCTTCAGGAGCTTCTGGTAAAAGTTCCTGCCACTGCCTGCACTCAATAACAATAATAATAATAATAATAATAATAATAATAATAAGGCAAAAGGCTAGAACCTGATTTGGCCTTCTTGGTATACCACTGCCTTTGCCTGCCTCAGAAGGATGCTAGGAGACCCCCTGGCTGGCTGCTGGACCAATCAGTTCTTCACCACTGCTGAGCTATAAGTCCTTAGAAGCAAGAAAAATGTTTAGTGGGCGAAACTTGGCCTCAAACCTGTCCAGGCAGCGAAGCCACTTTTACCTGAAGCCACATAACCAGGGGCAGTTCTGAGAAGTTCTTGCAGGGGCTGGTAGCATAATAGAGCCACCAGAACATGTGGGCATCCTTCCGGACAGTCACATAATCCCATACTTCCTTGCCCTCCTCTGTGGGCTGGTCGATGTTGGCTCCTGAAACGAAAGCACAATTTGATTTTCCTGAAGAATATGTAACTTCTGGGTAAATTCCAAGCCCAGTAGAGATGGCCATGCTAGACTATATCAGCGGTTCTCAACCTGTAGGTCGCGACCCCTTTGGGGGTTGAACGACCCTTTCACAGGGGTCACCGGGTACTCGTATGTGGGTATATCTGCATGTGGGCCTGGAGACGGATAGAGGAGCGGTGTCTCGGTTCCTAAGACCATCGAAAATATGTGTCTTCCGATGGTCTTAGGCGACCCCTGTGAAAGGTTGAGAACCGCTGCAGATGATTTGGTTTATAGTTTAGGCAATTTACTCATTCCAATATATTGTGAAAATAAGGGGAAAAAGCTTCAGTTATGAAAAAAACAAACCAAGCTTAATAGGAGGCTGGAGGCTTCCACTTTTTCCTGTACATCCTCTGAAACGTTGAGTTTTTAACAATAAGCATGAAACACTTTTATAATTCTGTTTTAAAAAGAGATTTACATTTTTGGGAAAAGTGAAAAATCTCAAGATGCAACATGCTGCTTTTTATATCTTATTTACTATATGATTAAAGAGGCATCACAAATAGTGGGACCAAGATTATTCACTATATTATGCTGGGTCACCTGTTAACTTTTTTGAAGAAAAAAAAAATAGAACTGTAGGTACTCTCAACACTACAACCAAAATAAACTTGAAGTTGATCAAGAATTTCAGTTTTAAAATTTAGATATTAAAAATAATATGAAAATATAATTGAAGGTTTTTCTGACCTCTGAATGGGGTAAAGATTATAAAGAAATCTTTATAAAGAAAAAAGAGACTATAAAGAAAACTATCAACAGAGCTGAGGACAGAAACTTGATACATTTCTGTACAACAAAATTTTTGTCCATTAAAAATAAAATGAAAAGGCAAACACCAAAGCAAGATCTGCAACAAATATGAAAATGGGTAATTTTCCTTACTCATGTAGACCAATTAAAAAATGGGAGATCCTAATAGTTCAATGGATCAAGGCCATGAGGAAATAATTTATGAAAAGGGAAATATGAATGTCTGATAAATATGTGAAAGAATGGTTAACATCACTAATATTGAAAGACATGAAAATTAAAGCAATAATGAGGTCACTAAAAAATGTTTGCTTATTTGATAGACAAAAAATGATGGCACTTGCTCAGTGTCCATAGGAGATGGGCCATCCGTCAGCACTGTTGGTAAGATGATAAGAGTGCACAGTGGCATAACTTTTGGGGGAGGCAATTTGGCCAAAAATATATTAAAAGCCGTGTGTGTGTGTGTGTGTGTGTGTGTGTGTGTGTGTGTGTATGTGTGTATCTCCTTTAATCCCACAACTCCAATTTCTTTTATTAACTTTTCTAGCACCTGTGAAATATGTATCAGAAAAGAGTAGGTTAAATACGTTTTCTATGTCACCTTTGCTACAGTAACCAACATTGAAGTTATAATATCTTTTTTCTTTTCAAAAAATACCACTTTGTGGGGAAAGAAGGTTGATGTTAAAAGGTGATTTAGGGATGACCCTTGGTGACTGGAGTTTTCTTTTTGCCTTCCACTGCCTCCTTTCATAGATTTCAAGCTGCTGCCTCAAGTAAAAGAATCAAAACTGGTCTCAAGAAGAAAAGGGAGTGGATGAGGAGACAATACTGTTTGTAACTGATGGAGATTAAGAAAACCAAAATGTGGTTTAAGGAGAAAAACAGAACGGCTAGAATATTACAGATGTGGTTATAATTCTCTATACAAGTAATGCAAATGTGTAGTCTCCTTGAAAATTACATATAAGGCTTGGGTCCCTTTTGACCTAACCCCTGGCACCCTTCCCTTCCCTGGTAGTGACCATTGTTAAAATTTGGGGTGCAACATATTTGACAACATTTCCCAGACACAAACTGAAGTGTCAGATGATCCCCATTTTACAGAAGAGAAAACAGCTGTGAAGCAATTTGCCTAAGATCACAAGGCAAGTTTGTGGCCAGTTCGAATTCTCACTCAGTTCTTGATTCAGACCAGGAAATGAGAGAAATAAAAGACTGAAAATCGATTTGCAAGTCATCCTATTAAACACAAATTTGTTCTTGCCAAAAAGGACCTCGGTAAGGGGAGGCATTATCTTGTCTGTTCTCTTCAAGTAGAGGGGGAAATTAAACATCCCATTCATAGTACGATTTTGCAGGCTTTTGGGGCCGCCTGCTTCAGCTCAAAATATAAAGACCGCATAACCCCACTTAGCAGCCAATGACGGCAGGAAAAGGGAAGTGGCCTTAAGATCGTGGAAACCTCATTGATCAGCAATTTCTACAAATCATACATTTTGCACAACTGCTTCCACCTAGAGAAAAAAAGGAGCACCAGACCACCTAGAGCAAGAAAAGGTAGAAAAAGCACTTTTAATTAAAAAACAAAAAACAAAACAGTGACGGTTCAAAAGAAATAAAATTACGCAAGGTAGACACCGGGGAAAAGAGATTTGCTTTAAAAAGCACAAACGCACTAACAGACTCACATCCCCGGATAGAGAAGGAGGTACCGGTCGCTGGTACATACACCTTTTGCCAGAACCTACCCGTGCTCAGGCCCAGAAGCAGCAGCAGCAGCAGCGAGACCAACAACGGAGAGACTCGCGGCGCCAGCTCCATGACGAATACCGCGCTGCAGCATCAGCAACAGGCTGGACCCTGAGCCCCACCACGTGACGGCGGTTAGGCGGGGCCTGGACCGGACCAGGGGCGGGGCGGGGCGGGGCCTCAGAGGCCTGGGGTCCCGTCGGGGGCGAGGGCGGGGATTGGACGGGCGAGGCGATTGGCAGTGTCCCGGGCGCCCTCTGCTGGGCGGGCCAACCAGGATTCTTGCAACAGTGCTCAGCACGTTCTGGCCGCTCCACCACGTCGTTCCTTGGCATTTTGGGGACTAAGCAAAGATGAAAGCTTATTATTCTAACAGCAGAGTTTATCGTAAGGATTGGAATGGTCTTTAAAAAAAATACCTTATTGGTTCCTTCATTAGGAGATGAGAGCTAAGCATAGGGTGTCAGCTAAGGTAACAAAGAATTGCTAAACTGTGCTGCACAGGACTATGAGAAGGATTTGTTTTGCTCCTAGAAGAGGAAAGGATATAGAGAAAAAGAATGGGGACTGTGTAGAGAGAAAGACCAGCCAAAGAGTCAAGGCTGAAGAGCCAGTGGAAATTTGATGAGGTAGTGACTACAGCCCATTTCTTACAAGGTGATGCTTGTGGTTCAATTTGAGCTTGCTTGCATTTCTGTGATGCAAACTTGTCCTCTTGGGGGTAGATAAAAAACACAATAGGGCTTTAGGGAAGACAATAGGATTGGAAGAAAGATTTGGGGAACTTGTTTCCAAACTGTGTTTGCAAAAAAAAATTTTTTTTAATTGTTTATATTTTAGGAAGGATTTGAGAAGCCAATGGAGATTGGTTGGGGGCTCCGTTTAAGGCCCTTCCAGAGAATTTCTGGTGTAGAAGCTTGCAAGCGATCCTTGCTATTACAGGGCTATCTTCTCCCTGTGTCTTCACATCAACTTCCCTGTGTCTTTTTTTTTTTCTTTCCCTGTATCTTTGTGCACTCACACGTGCTGTGCTGTTCCACCTGCATGGAATGGTCTCTCACACCTTATTTGCCCCCTGCACCTACCTGGCTAGTTACTGTTGAACCTGTCAGTTTACATGTCCCTTCCCATGGAAGCCTGTCCCAACAGTGCATTCTAGGTGAAGACTGGGACCTCTTAATGGTCTTAATTGCTTCCTGTACCTCTCCTTCCTGATGCTCATCATAATTGTTTTTTTTTTAATTTATAGCTTCTTTTTAATTTTTATTGTTTAAGATTTTTATTGGGGAATTGGGGGATGGGAA